AAGCTATGGTAAGATGGACGCCGCATGGCAAACCAAACTCCGCCTACCTTGGAAGATCAGAACTTCCATTTTTGGTCCTCAGTCATACGGGGCTACTCGTTCCGCGACGTCAACGTGGAGGTTCCGATCGCCTGGAGCAAGTCGTACGTATATGTGACCGTTGACGGCTCGGATTTCAACGGGTATGGATTGCCCTTCTATGCGTATCTCAACCGCGACCGCTCTGAAATCGGATGTTACCTGACTTGGCGAAAGGGCTATGAAAAAGAGAAGCACATCTTTGAAGAGATCGTAGCGCCACTCGAAAGACTGCGCGGCGAGTTAGGCGATGATTTGGAGCCGTGGACCAACCACAACGGACATCCGAGAGTCGGATTCCGCCGTGCGACGCAATTCCAGCTCCTCCATGACTACGAGAACGCGGAATACCGCTGCGCGGTTGCGTGGATGCAAGATCACCTGGATCGCCTCGTAAGTACGCTGTATCCGCGTATTCAGCGCATGCTCCTCGCAGGGAGCTGAGGTGGCGCAGTCGCGGATTGAATGGGACGAGATTCCGAGCCCGGTTATTGTGCGGGGGACGGCGGAGGTGGCGCATCGGGATCCGGCGATGCACTACCACGACGGCGTGTTTCGGGTGTTCTACGGGCTGGCGCGGCTGATCGATCCGCCGGAGCAGGGGCGGGTGATGTTTCAGCTCGCGGTGATCCGGAGCACCGATCTGATCCACTGGAGCGAACCGCGTACGCTCACCCCGCTCGACGACGACCTCAACCTCACCGATCCGGGCAACATCGTGCGCTTTGGCGATGAGTGGATCATGACGGTCGAGAACTACCGCACGCCGTTCAGCCCGTCCGGCGGGCAGGAGACGACGCGCTGCTGGCTGATGCGCAGCACTGACCTGGAGACCTGGAGCGAGCCGGAACTGATGCTGCTCAAGGGGCCGGCGGTGCCGGACGCGCAGATGGGGCGCTGCATCTGTCCGTGTCTGTTTCCCGACCGCCACGACCCCGGCAAGTGGTGGTGCACGTTCAAACAGGGCGGCTTTACCGTGGCGCCGGCGCACCGCCTGGCGTTCGGCGGCACCGACATGCCGCGCCGCTCGCTGCTGCTGCAGAGCCTGAACCTGTCCTGGAGCTACGACCTGCGGCACTGGACCTGGTACACCCGCGCCGACAGCGAGGAGAGCTACTGCGTACTGACCGAGGAGGACGGCTACGTGCTGATCGACTCGCCCGACAACGGCGTCGGGATGAAGCTGTCGCCGGACCTGTTGCACTGGCACCAGATTGGCCTCTACACGCTGGGGACAGCGGCGCTGGCCGTGGGCGCAGGGGCGGCTCAGCGGCGGGCAGGTGATCGATCTGCGCCACGTGCCCGAGGTGGGCAAGTACGTGATGGTGTTCCACGGCTGCACCCCGGCGGGCAAGATCGCCAGCAACGTGCACGGCGCCGCCAGCCTGGGCCTGGCGTGGAGCGACGACCTGGCCAACTGGTACTGGCCGCAATGAGTGCGCCGCACGTCGACCTGGAGGCGATTCCCGGCCCCATCATTCTGGCCGGCGACCAGCGCACCGCCTACCGCGATCCCCTGCTCCACTATCACGACGGCATCTTCCGCCTGTTCTGCTCGGTGGTGAGCGCACAGCCCGACGGCCACGACCGCTTCCACGTCGGCGTGACCGAGAGCCGCGACCTGCGCTCCTGGGGACCGTTGCGCGCCGTCACCGATCCCGCCGACCCGCGGAGCTTCTGCGGGCCGGGCGGCATCGTGCACCACGACGGCCGCTGGCTGCTGTGCATGAGCAGCTATCCGCGGCCCAACATCCACGACGCGCGCTGCTGGACCACGGCCAGCGCCGACCTGCAGAGCTGGCAGGAGCCACGGCCCCTGCAACTCAAGGGGCCGGCAGTGCCGGTGCGCGACACCGGGCGCGCCCTCGATCCCTATATCTTCCGCGACAAGGACGACCCCGAGCGCTGGTGGTGCTGCTACAAGCACGGCGGCGTGCTGCTGGGACGCGCCCACGGCCTGGGCTTCGGCGGCACGCCCATTCCGCCCGACGCGCTGCTGCTGCAGAGCATGCAACTCTCCTTCAGCCGCGACCTGGAGCATTGGACCCCGTACGCCCAGAGCGACGGCGAGGAGAACTACTGCGTGCTGGTCGACCAGGCCGCGGACGAGTACGTGCTGATCCACTCGCCGGCCAACGGCATCGGCATCAAGCGCTCCACCGATCTGGTGTCCTGGTACTGACGAGTGCCTGTACACGCTGGGGCAGCGGCGCTGGCCGTGGGCGCAGGGCCGCATCACCGCCGGCCACCTCCTGGACCTGCGCCCTGAACCGGCATCTCGCCCAACGTACCTGCTGACCTTCCACGGCGCACCACCGCGCCGAAGCGAGCCGCAGCGCACCACGAGAGGCCAGTGTCGCCATCGCCTGGAGCGACGACTTGGTGCGCTGGCACTGGCCCGGCCACCCCGGCCCGGCGTGACTCGGCCGCGGTATTCCCGTTGTCCTGCCTGCTGCCGCCGATCGACACCTGGCGGGCGTGTGGCAGGATGGGCAGCATGAGTGAGCGGTGACCCTGCGAACGCCGCGCCGGCCCAACGTGGTGTGGATCTTTGGCGACCAGCATCGCGCCCACGCCACCAGCTACCGCGGCGACGGCAACGTGTTCACGCCCAACATCGACAACCTGGCGCGCGAGGGGATGCGCTTCGACTGCGCGTGGCCGGGGCGCCGTGGTGCACGCCGTTCGCGGCGCGCTGCTGACCGGGCGCTACCCGCAACAGAGCGGCGTGGTGGCGAACGGCTGTCCGCTGCCGCCGGAGATGCCCACCGTCGCGCACGCCTTCGCCGACGCGGGCTACCACACCGCCTACGTCGGCAAGTGGCACCTGGACGGCACCAACGACCGCGACCACTACGTGCCCCCGGAGCGGCGCGGCGGCTTTCACTACTGGATGGGCAACGACGCCGCCAACAACCAGCACGAGTGCTACGCTGTTCGGCACCGACAGCGAGACGCCGGTGCGGCTGCCCGGCTACGAGACCGATGCCTGGAGCGACCTGCTGATCGCGCATCTGCGCACCCACGTCGGCGCGCGGGACGGGGCGGCCCGCCCGGCGGCGGTGCGCGCTCCGGCGCCGGAGCCGATTACCAGCCGTTCTTCGCCGTGCTGTCGGTGCAGCCGCCGCACGGCCCCAACCTTACCCCCACCAATCCCGTCACGGCGCTCCGCGCATCCACCCGGAGACGCTGCAACTACGGCGCAACGTGCCGGACGTGCCGTGGATACGGGAGAAGGCTCGGCGCGGGCTGGCCGGCTACTACGCCATGGTCGAGAACCTGGACTACAACATCGGCCGCATCCGCTCCGCGCTCGCCGGGATGGGCGTGGATCGCGATACCTACGTGGTTTTCTTTCGGACCACGGCGACATGATGGGCAGCCACGGCCAGTGGAAATCGTCTCCCTGGGAGGAGTCGATCCGCATCCCGTTCCTGGTGCATCGCACCGGCGGCTCCTACACATGCGCACCGGGGTGTGCGATGCCCCGATCAATCACATCGACATCGCCCCGACCACCCTGGGGCTGTGCGGCATTCCGGTTCCCGGCGAGATGGTAGGCTACGACTACTCCACCCACTGCACACGGTCGGATGCGCCCGAGTACCGCGGGCCGCCGCAGCCGGACACGAGCCGCGGAGCGCCTACCTGCAGCAGATTCCGCCGAAGCTGATGCGCCACACCGTCAACCGCCCCTGGCGCAGCCGACCGCGACGCGGAAGTTTACGCCTGCACGCCCGGCCACGACTGGCTGCTGTTCAATACCGCCGAGGACCCCTACGAGCAGGCCAACCACGTCTACAGAGCGAGCGTTTCAGTTGACAGTCACAAAGAAGAGCGCTGTCCCACCTGCCTCCTGGCACACTGGATCGCCGCCACCGGCGACCGCTTCTCCCTGCCCGGCATCGCCCTGGACCGGGACGCCAGGACCGGAGCCTTAACCCATCCTTGCGTGGTATGATCTGATCCAATGCCTGCACACGGTGACTGCAAGGTATCTCTCGTTGCCATCAAGCCGCACATCTCGCGATGCGCATCTTTGACCGGTGATCCGCGCGTCCCACAGCATCTGCGCGGCGCCCGGAGGACACTTACGTGGCGCTGATCGAGCACCTGGAACGTGACCGGTGGGAGGAGTTTTTTCGGGGTGTTTTCCGGTACGCACTCGAGGTCATGAAGCACGACCGCTTCCGTTCGGTGGGCAGTTCCGCGGACGATCTGAGAAGCTGGCTCGCCCGGGGTGGAGTACCCAGGGTCAGGGAGCGCCTCGATACGCAGATGGAACAATGCAGCCGGTCACACTCCCGCGAGCTGCCGTCCGCGGACATGCGGACGCAATGGTTCAAGAGAATCGCCGGGCGCTGCTGGATCTGACCGCCACCGGTGTCATCCCTGCCAGCGGGAGGTGCCGCAGATGGATGCGTCCGGCATGTCGGAGACCGACTTTCGGGATCTGCTCAACCGCATGATTGCGGGTGAACGACCTTTCGAGGATTGGATGCACGCTCACGGACGATCCGATGAAGAGATTGCGGAAATCTACAAGCTGATCGACGAGTGGTTGATGCAGAAGGGAATCATCCCCCCGCCGCCGTCGGCCCCGGGCCTGAATTGAATTAGCCCTACGGCTTCGCCTGACAGGGAGACGCTCGAGCAGCGGCGAGCCAATGACCTGCGGGGCGCCCGTGACTACGCACGCAATGCCCTTTCGACCGCTTCGGGATCCTCGCCGGCGACCTTCAGCAAGGCTTGAGCTGGCCCTTCGGGACGACGTCGCCCTGGTTCCCAATTCTGCAGGGTCGCCACGCTGACTCCGATCATGAGCGCGAACTCGGATTGTGAACGCTGCAGTCTTTTCCGCACCGCCTTGATATCAACCGAGCCGATCTCGAATACGCGTGAGGGCGTCCGAATGCCGCGTTTGATGGCGCCTGCTTCCTTGATGCTCGTCACCAATTCGTTGAAGTCGTCCTCTTCAGTAAAAACTCCGCTCCGGGGATCAACCTCGACAGTGTTTTCAACTGTTGAGGACTCAGATCCTCCTGATCACTCTTGCGGTACAGAAACAAAAAGTAGAGAGCTTGGCGTCAGTCGTCGACCACTTCGAATGCGGTGACGTTGCGGGTCTTGCGGCTGACCTCCACGCCGACCAGGTGAATCGGCTCGCCGCGCCCCCGTACTTGGCCCCGATAGTCCGATCCTGCACTCTTGCGCAAACCGCCGACCCCGGCGGCGCCACAATCCCACCACATGAAACTCGAACAGATAGACATGCCCGCCGGTGCGCAACCGCAAATGTCCAAGCCGCCGCCCGTGGCTGCTCGAAAAACTGTCCCTGACTCACTGGCCCAGAACGTTGGAATGGCCTCTCGCACGTCGACTCAAGCGGCCGGCATCGCTCATTCGTCACTGGACAACGCGAGGTGAGGAAAACTCAGCCGGCCGGGCGCTGACCGGGCGATATAGTCGGCTTTGAGTTTAGGTTATTTTTTTCCACCGCGATCTCGTAGCCCAGCGCCGCGAATACGCGAGTAGAACACGGCTCGGTAGAGTAGCCTCGTAGTAATAGTTTGCGATTGTCGTTGTTCGGGTGCCACTGTAGGGGCTACTCGCGAAGAAACGCTTGGAACAGTCCCTCCAGCAGGAGAACTTACCCCAAACCCCAGATCCCCCCCTACCCTCCCCCAAACGCCTTCTCGCCAACCCCCTTCTAAACCTCTTCACCTATACCTACCCACACCATTAACCCCTATTTAGGTCCCTTTCTGGAAGGATATGCACACATAGTAGCACCCACTTAAAACATACAGTACTTGTGTAAGTGAGGTACATAAATTAGGCATATGAAATTCTAAAATCATGTATATAAATGTCTAACTGGAGCGAGCTTGGTTTTGTGTGGTATAGTTTAGGGTCTGTCATTGCATCTTGTGTGCATGCGTATGACTACGTTTAGATGTCGGCAGATTCAAATTGCACCAATCAGATGCGTAAAACGTGGATTCTAAATCCTGTATTTTCCAAGTGCGTGTTTCCACGGAGATGCCGCCAAAAAATGGTGTCTTTGATGGGGGTGTGGCAAGCTTTCAGCGCAAAGAAACTCGCTCTGTCGCTGAGAGCTCGCCGCGACGACTTCAAACGCGCTATATCTGATGCTTCTTCGATGAAAGGCCTCTCTACGATGCAAAAAGAAAGTAAAATGAAGACCTTTTTAGCTTCCCCCAGCGAGAGCGAGTCTCGTGGAAGACGACAGACCTGGACAATATTGACGGCCAGCACGGCCTCCGTCTATACTGCTTGTCAATGGAAATACACAATTTAGACGGACTTGGAGCCCTTAGTAGCGTTTTTGCTGCGCTCAGACGGCTACAGCTCAGGGCCCCTCGTGCCATCTAAATCGCGTATTTCCAGTATAACTTATATTTATTGTGCACTAGACTGAATGCGTTTTTTCCCCTACTCCTGAAGCAAGCGAGACAGATAAGTTAAAGCACAGGTTTTTGGATACAATATTTCTATAATACCTTACTGTTGCATTTGGATGCTTTTGACAGTCGGTGGAACTCTGTGGATCGTTTCACACTACCATGCACGGCATGCACCGATCGTGCAGTTCTTACGCGACGTTTGTTGGCGTCGCCCTCTGGGCTGCACGACCTTGCGACCTCTGGTTTGTTGATTGGTTGACAGCTGGCTCTATTGTGCTTCAAGAGAAGATTGGCTCCTTCCTGTTGTGCGCGAATCGCTTCCAAGGTAAGCTAGCTGTTCTGCAGTACACCGGCATGTCGCCAAATGACGCTATGGGCCTAAAGGGTCCGCAATAATTGTCGCCAAATGGCGCTATGGACCTAAAGAGTTAAACCCCTCCTTCTAAAGTAAGAGTTCTCCAACCTTTTCTGGAGCTTCCAGCGCCTCAGAACCTTTCCTATGAAGAACTCGCAGAGCTTCCACATACTTGCCCTGTCTAATGTGGTGAGTAATCACCCTCTCATAATCTGCAGGATGGTTAGAAATAGAACATTACCACAGAAGATCGGGGAGTTAAGACTTACCCTTCATAAGCATGGCAAAGAACACCACATCTTCTACTGCTCCATGACTAGACAGAAGATCATAAACTGTTTTTGCATTGGCCTCAAGACACTCCTAAAAATATCGAAACGTAACAGATATCATAACATAACAACATTGTCATACCCGGAGACTTTTGGTCTCAAGAAATGAATGGAATTCCTGGGTCATCTTTGCATGCCCTTCACGATCTCCCTCATCCTTCAAGGTTCCAAGATCATTGAGGAATAACTCTACCAGCCAGGTTGTTAGCATCGTCTGTTGTGTGCTGTCCTATTAAACAGAACAAGAAAAACTTATTTGGCTTATTATAAAAATTGTCATCTACAATAGTTAAGCTGATTTCCAATGCTTATTGAAACTCTAGACGTGATTTAGATGATAGAGGCAGCATTTATGATCAGGGTGTTACAGTGAGTCATCTACAAGGTAGAGTAATGGTCAGGTCCCTTAGTCTACCATGCATGTGCTCTAAGGAAGCTCAGTAACCTCTACAAAGATATGATGCCAGTTCACTCAGTCTGATCAACATGCACACATATACCTTTACCCCCCTATTACAAATGACTGAAGTGCAATCCCTTAGTGCTTATGTTTCATGTGCATAAATTACAAATGCCCAAGACAGATAGCTAATTGATGGCCTGGGCGGTGTATGTGTCAACATAGGCCAGGAGCATCAGTGAGTGTGTTTGGAGCAATGTTAAACTAGATATTCCTCATCTAAGAGTGTCACCACATGTATTTTGAACAGGCTAACACTAGGCGAAGTAAGCCATTGGTCATTCTCACTAGTTAACCCTCGGCGCGTATGCGCAGCGAGGGTTACAGTACTTGGTTTATCCGTCCGTGTGTCCGTCGGTCTGTCTGTCCATCTGGTACCACGTTTTCTGCCACCACGTGCAACAAGCGGGTAAAAAAGCGACACCAACGGTTCAGCGCTACACTGGCTTTCTTTTTAAAATGGCGATTTTCTTAAAAGTGCCGCGTTCAGAAGTTATGGCGTGAAAAACAAGTGAACAAGCCAATATTCAAATTAGCACAGGCTTACCTAGACCGCGTCTGCATGCTCTGTGCATCTTGAAGGCACAAGAAGTCACAACAAAGGGCATGCTACTGTAGCTAGCCCGTGTCAGACTCTCCGTGAGCTACTAGCAGGGAGACCACGAGTTAACGCATACTATAATAGCCCAACCCATCAATTAGCGGTACCGCGCATGCGCAGTTCGCTGAGGGTTTGCACTGCTTTTCATTTCTCTTGCAGCAGGACACTTTTGCACAGAATGGGCCTTTTTGTGAACTAACAATGCCATAGAGTTTTCCTAGCGCTTAAGTTGTTTGAAAGCATGCTTAGAATGGCATAACAGCATTTCACCAAAAGTCCGAGTGTCTTAGGTGCTGAGATGCTTTCAAACAGATGGATGATCAGTGTGTTGACATTCAATTCAAACACCGTTGACGGATAATCTGTAAAAACTTCACTTACTGAGGGTGCTAGTGACTCCAGCTTTTTCAACAGGAAAATCTTTAGAGCATCCTTTCGGTTGACCTGCAGGAACTTGAGTGCCACCTCTTCAAACGAGAGCTGACTCTGTGAGAATGTCAGAGCAGCATCCTGGTACCTATACATATACAAACATATATTACCTAAAACCATGCCGCAGACATGACATACAGGCACAAAGAAGAGTAGTGACACCAATGAAGTTGTAGTCATAACTGACGTTTACTGTAAGTATAATTGTCAGCACTGACACTAGACACAGATATTCCAAACTACCTAACTGGGATTAGAAACGGCGCAGGAGTACTCGATATATTTGTGTGTATGATTTGTGTTGCACTTCACCGCTTCGACCGGGCTGAAAGTGATACCTGTCATTGTTATGAATGATGTTCATTTAGCTGTGGGCATAGAATATAGTTAATGGGGGAAAGTCCGGTAGCATGCTTGACACTGTGGCTGGTGTCAATACAAGCAATAAATTTGGTGATGTGCAGTATCTGGGACACACCTTTCTACGCACAGCCTCCGCCACATCCAAGTGCCGACTGACCACTTCTGAGGATGTGTGGGTTTTTATGAGATAATGCCGCCATGCCGCCCGCCTACCCGGTCAAAGTTCACAATTTGTTGACGTTTCAAGAAGTTTGTAAATTTACAACATTTTGTGAGCGAAAGGGTTTTAATCATAAAAACCCACACATCCTCAGAAGTGGTCAGTCGGCACTTGGATGTGGCGGAGGCTGTGCGTAGGTCGGTAAAACGGCAGAAAGAAAGATCGCCACAGCGCACATGCGCGGGACGAAAGGGGTGTTCGATCCCGGCAGAATGACGCACGCGTGCAAACGCCGATCAGGCGCAGAAACCGAATTCGTGACTGAAAGAGTTAACCTCTGGAAGAGACAGTTACATACGGTGTATCAACGCCAACCACGAAGCACAGCGTATATACCTGCACCGTACCTCACCGCACCGTACTATGGTGCGGTACAGTCGACGGTCAGAAAACCACCGTAGCTGAAGGGCCCCGCCTCTCCTCCCATTGCACACGCGTGAGACCACGCACTGTGCTCTCGATCTCCACCGCAAGTTTTGCACCGCTTGTGCGTGCTGCTGGTCCTTTGGTTTGAGTACACGATGCCATCCCTACCTGGCAATTGACAGCTACAAAGGATCACCTACAGACCCCCAGGTACAGTTTTCAGTAGTGATCAACGTATTTTGTTCGACATTGTACAGGTACTCTCGTCGTCAGCTGTCCAGAGCTCCGCAGCTTTTTTCTCTTGGCATCACATGGTCTATTGTTACATGTGTATGCGCTGGCAGGATATGGGTGCTTGCTGGCTTCATTGCCGCGGCCGAATCCACTATCTCAGCATTCTGAATTCGGGTTTTGGCTCGGTACTGGCAACGCCTTGTGGGGATGAATCTCATTAGTTCAGAACCACAAGCGCTGCGCCTGAGCAAAGCCTTGTGGGGATGAATCTCATACCACAAGTGCTGCGCTCAACTTTGCCTTTATAAACTGGTGATGCCAGAGAGAGAAGTTGCGGTATGCTTTGCTGATGAGGGCCAACAAGCCCGAAACAGCTGTCAGAGCTCCCTATCTTTTTTCTCTTGGCACCACATGGTCTATTGTTACATGTTACGTACCACATACAGGTGAAGTGTAGTATGGTGAATGGATGAACTGAAGGTTGGTCATATGGTCAGCGAGACTTACGAAAAGTACTAAATAGCTATGTATGTTTTTCTGTGGCATACGGCTAAGTTACTTCCGACGGAGACTTCTACAGCCATGTTCCAGTGCGGACTGGCATTTCTTCCAGAGTACTTCTACATCTCCCCAGAATCGCTCCAGCATTAGCTGTTTCAGCCACTGGAGCTCACGTACTGGTAGGCCAGGCAGCTTCCCTGCTCCTAGTGGCGTACATCGCCTCACGAGAGCAATCCCAAAACGCATTCACATGCTAGGAGAACAGTCAGCTTCCCAGGGTTGGATATCTTTGTTTGTGGTGCAGAACTTGGTCTGTGGGACATAGCTGCGACTTGTCAATCTTGCTCGATGACAAGGAGGTACTCTAGTCGTTTGCTCCCTCAAGTGGTAGTGCAGTTGGTGCTTGGAAGCTGTTGGTTGATGGTACATTGACTACTCGTACAACTTCCTCTTGTGGTTGAGAGTGAGCAGGAGTGGAAGGTGTGGATGTTAGTCTGCCCAGCTGCTGGAGCATCAAAAGTTAGTTTCTCTGTACCACCTGCAACTGTTCTTTGAGCTCTTCATGAGCTCTATAGTGGCTGGAGAAGTCAGGTATTCCACAAGATCAGACGGTTCGCAGGCAGGCATGAAGTCTTTTGGCTCTACTGCAGACTGTAGGGGAGCTTGGGTTGATGTTGAGGCAGCACCGGAACTAAGGACCCTTCCTCTTTTCGCCACACGTAGCGGCTGTATACAACTTTGTGTATATATACCTTGGCACTTGTGTGACATATGTGGCTGTAATGTCAGTAGTTGAACTTTAGCAAAAGTAAAATTGCTCATTCTGGCTCTACAGGCCAATATGCACATTGGTTTAACCGTCAATACTTGCATGTTACATGTATGTTGTTCAGATATTGTCTGCGCAGAGGAAGGAGAACATGGGCAACAGGGCTTACTAATCAAAGTGCATGTGTACATTAGCTTATGAGAACAGGTTACATACGTGTGTTTCTTTTTGGGCCCCCTCTTTGTCTTTTTTGGTGTCGGCATTGCTTCTGCAGTGTTTGCTACTTGCTGCAACTCTAGTCCAAAAATGTACTAGGATAGTTTTGAGTGTTAGTAGGTGTGACGGACCTTTGGGCACATTACTCTCCAAAAGCTTCTCCATTTCCTCTGGTGTGCCATTTGCAGAGCAGGTGTCAATTTTTCTTTTTGGTGCTCTGTGTGGATAATTACCTTCAGACACCAACTTGCAGTAAAAGAGTCCATAGAAAATATGTAGTATTATGTGTGAGCTCTGAAGTTGACGTGAGTGTGGTACACTCGAAAACACTTTCCAGGGTGCAGATGTGGGTGGTCAGAGCAAGTTTGACAGAAGTAGGTGGTTGTTTGCCGCCTACCCGACACACTGCAAACACGACAGTCAAGTTGTATGTCTCCCTCTTCAGAGAAGTGAGGTATTGGCCGCATACGCTCAAGGGACATATCAACTCGGCGACCTGGGCGAATTGGCTGTGGTACCTGAAGCCAGTGTGATACGAGCCCCTGTATCAGTGAGCAGCGGAACTGGAGGTGTGTGAGTGGCCTCTGTTGGAGAAGAGTGAGTCTGGTCGTGTACACGATGTACGAGTTTACTACCGAGACTTCATGAAGCCAGAACATGACTTTTCTCCACCATTTGACTGACTTGCGAAGGAAAGAGTAGTACGCCGCAGGTTGGTCCATCTTGTCGACACCAAGCATGTTGTCGTTATAAATTTGAACAATCTGCGGCTTCTACTTCAACTGACCACGCTTGCTACGGACTTGTACAACATTGCAGGACCCAGTTGTCGACAACATGGTGATTGGACGCTTATCCTGCCACTGAAAAGCCATCATTTTCCCCAACCGATATGCTCGCACGGTGCCACGATGTAGTTTACCACCACTCTTGATAGCGTGTGGCATCCCTCGTCGGTTGACTTGCACAGTACCAGTAAAGGCAAGTCCCCGCTGCTCTAGCTCTGATGCCAATTCTGGCGAAGAGTAAAATCGGTCGGTGTTTACGTGGTGATGAAGGCCTTCCAGTGGCTGGGTGAGAGTAAAGACTGTCCGAGTTGTCTGGAGTAGCTGTGAGTCAGAGAGGATGTCTGTCTCCTTCCCTAAGTACAATCTCAGCCCATACAGGTACCCAGTTGCACTGTCGGCCAACACAAATGCCTTTATTCCAAAGGGATGGGGCTTTCCTCTTTTGAAACATACCCGCCTGCAGAACGCAATTATTGCCTCGTCAACAGCTACAAATTTTCCTAGCTTGTAAGCGGCAGTGAATCTGGGGCCAAGGAGATCAAGTAGTGGTTGCACTTTTTGTGATCGACGTTGGAGAGGGGAGGAGGGGTGACAGAGATGGAGAATCCAGAAAATCTGGAGAAATCTATGACGGGACATCACTGATCTGCAGGTAAAACATACATGTGTAACTGTTGCTTGAGAGTGTAATTATGTATATGTACCTGAAGAAACTAAGGTTTAGAACCTCATGGGTACTCCAGTAGTCTTTTATGTCTGGTAGCTGCAGGATTCCCATCATGAGAATCAGCCCCACAAATGCCATCGTCTCTTCTCTGCAGGTATCGTACCAGTTAGCGAGTACCCCACGACGAGAGGGAGGTGTTGTGCGGATCCGATGTTGCGCATATCGGTTGGTCTCATCTAACAACAGGTCCCACACCTCTGAGGTGAAGAGTTCATGAAAGAAACTCTCTGGAGTTGCATCAGCTGGGAATGTTGTCTGTGGCCCAGTAGGTTGAGTAAAGGGCGGCCATTGAGGAGCATTGTTGGTCTCTGCAAATAGCATGTAGTTACATTTTCTCTGTATCCACATATTTTTTATTGGCACAGGTATTTACCTTCCTTTATCCCCTGCCAGTCATACTCTACAGTTTTAGGCCTGCTCTGTTAGGTCCTGGAGCAGTGGGTGGGGCTGAATCTTCTTCCTCCTCGGATGTTTGCTCAAGAAGCTCTTGTGCAGCTATATTGTCTACACTCTGCTCACTTCCATCACTGTCCTCGCTCTCTGCCTCAGTCTCTACCTCCAAAACACTTCCTACATCCATCACTACACTCGCTGTTTACTAAACACTTGTTTACTACAGTTTGTAGTAACAGTTGCAAATATCAGTTGTACAGTACCGCCCACCGCGCGCCGCGATGTACTTTAGCAGAGGTCAACGCGAGTAGAGAAGTGGAGAGAGACAGGAAAACCAGTGTGAAGACCAGAAAGAGAGGTAAGCCTTGTGAGCAAGAAGCTAGGTCGACTACAACCTGCATTTCATGCATACGTAACATACGTGTAGGTGAAATTGTCGCGCGTGTAACCGTGGGGAGGCATACGTCCTGCGCAACATAAATTTATGTTACAAATACGTGGCATACGTCCGGTAAGTGTTAACTATAGATGTGCATGCAGAGTGTTAGGTGTGGGCATCTTACTCATGTAATTACACATTTTTAAAAAACTTCTTCACTCCAAAAAGTAGCACATATGGAGATGATACTTGGCACACAGACACGTGTTGAATCATCCTTATGACACCTAATGACACCTAATCTTAAACAACAACAAATAGCCTCAGGCAATTTTCTGTACAATTATTTCTTCAAAACTTGCTAACGGTAGCATGTACGTATGGAGATAAAATGTGGTAAGCATATTATGTATTGCATCGTCCTTATGACACCTAATGTGATTACATGTTGTAAAAACAAAAAATAGCCCTAAGCAATTTTCTTTAAAATGATTACTCCACTCCTCTAAACAGAAGCCTGTATAGAGATGAAACTTGATACACATGTGTATTACATCATCCTTATGACACCTAATGTGATTAACCCTTTGATCGCATGCGCTGAAATGCGTGCGTCGATTGCGATCCACGGAAAAACACGTGGTTTTAGCAAAGACGCGTGCGGTCGTTGTAGCGTAGAAGTGAGTCGGTTTCTGAACTATGCGAGACTATTAAATGGTATACAGCGTGAGGAAGGGCTCAAGTCTTGCAAAAGTAAGCTGAACTAGCTTGTACCGAGCGTAGTAAACAATAAGAACGGTACAAGGGCAGAAATAGGCATCCGCTTTCTCGTGTGCAGGCACGGAGAGATCATGCACAGGAAGTGGGGGTGTACCAGGGGGGCAAGGCTGTGTTGTTCTGTAAGCTGTGAACAACCGAGACTGGAAACCCCGACACAGATAAGCGGAGGAATGCGATGTATGCGGACACGTGGCAGAGCGTATATATACGCCTCCCGCGGGGAAGGGGGGGCGGGTCCGACGGGCGTATATATACGCTTCCCACGTAGAAACGGTTAAACAACAACAAAGAGCCTCGGGGTATTTTCACTAAAATTACTTCTTCACTCCCTAAACAAGCTAGTGGTAATGACGCATGATCGTGTTATGTTCACTGCAAACATGTCATGCAGGTGGCCGACCACACGCACTTCTACGAACACAGTCTTTACGAAAGAAACCAGTGGGGTTCGATTTCGTCGAGATTAACCTCAACTTTTGCCATCCTTATCGAGGAAACAGCTCTCCATCAAGACACAGACCAAGTACTGTAACCCTCGCTGCACATGTACGTCGGTAGAATTTGAACCGCCCATTTTCTAACCCACAAGATGACACAGATACGTTACACAGGTCTTATGCACTCGACTGTGCACAAAGCACCCACCAAACACGCATTTTCAACACAAAAAACACTTGCGAATTGAGTGTTTCCTTTCGATTATCCATGCTTAGGCCCAACGCATGAAGCAATTCGTTATATACACACGGATAGCTTAGTTGTCTGCTAAATGTCATTTCAGCAAATTAACTCTTTAGGGTCCATAGCGCCATTTGGCGACATGCCGGTGTAGTGCAGTACAGGTAGCTTACCTTGGAAGCGATTCGCGCACAACAGGAAGGAGCCAATCTTCTCTTGAAGCACAATAGAGCCAGCTGTCAACCAATCAACAAACCAGAGGTCGCAAGGTCGTGCAGCCCAGAGGGTGACGCCAACAAACGTCGCGTAAGAACTGCACGATCGGTGCATTCCGCGCATGGTAGTGTGAAACGATCCATGGAGTTCCACAGACTGTCAAAAGCATCCAAACGGAACGGTAAGGTATTAGAGAAGTATTGTATCCAAAATCTTGTGCTCTAACTTAGCTGACTCGCTTGCTTCAGGAGCAGGAAAAAAACATTCAGACCACGCGGTCTATTGCTGAATAAACGTAGTCATACGCATGCGGGCAAAGATGCGATCACAGACCTAAAGAGTTTTAACTACTCAGTTATCCTACAGCATGATACTGTACATACCTCTGATCTTTAAAGTAATGTTCTGCCTGGCTGACAAGGATAATATCCATGTGTTCCCTGTTGCCTATGGCATATCTCTTAGCCATCTCATAATTCTTCTGCTCCAGGTAAATTTTCCAGATATCACTGAAAGAGAAAAAGCAGCACACACATCACATAGGTGTCCTGTTTCACAAAAATCAAGGAGGATTATACACTGTTCATGGGTTGACGTTAGACAGCAAAATGCCAAAGGACCATTGGTGTGGGTAAAGAGCTTGATAACCATCACTCAATGAAAAGCACTAAAGTGCAAACACTCGGCTATCTGCACATATGCGGTACCACTAATTGATGGGCTACGCCTTTAGTTGCGTTTACTCGTGGTCTCCTTCTAGTGGTTCACAGAGAGCCTGACACGGGCTAGCTACAGTAGTAGATAGCATGCGAGAGTTATACACACCCTTCGTTGTGCCTTCAAGATGCACAGAGCAAGCGGACCCGGTCAAGGTATGCATGTGCTAATTTGCATATTGGCTTGTTCACTTGCTTTTAGCGCCATAACTATTAAATGCAGTAATTATAGGAACATTTTTAAAATGAAGCCAGTGTAGCAATGAACATGTTGGTATCGCCATTTTGTTGTCTCGTTGTGCATAGTTGCAGAAAACATAGTAACAGCCAGACAGACACACTTACAAATCAAGTACTGTAACCCTCGCTGTGCATGCTCGCCGAAGCAATTGTAATGCTTATATCTCAGCTGCATTCTCGCTAAGTTCTATGTCAGTGTAAATTAGTCCGATGGGGATACTTATGGACACAAATGTGTCAGTGGTACACATATAAATACAACTCAGCAGGTTAACCGTGTCTCATTGAAGGGAGTGTAGGTCCACACTTTGTGTTTCTGGTATGTGTACATCTTCAACTCCAGTGGATCCATACAGAGAGCATGCAACGCCCCATCGCGACGGATATTGTAGATATCCTCAAACACTCTCTCTTGGTTGAGAACACAGATAGCTTCAACTCTGTGTGAATTATTGTGTGAAGAACACGTGTAAAGACAGACACCAACACGTTCAATATTCACTCCGTATGATAATTGAAGGAGGTTCGAACAGAACCGAAATAACATAGATCTCCAAAAATAATAATGCAGAACTCATCACACACGGCATTATGTGCCCGTGTACATAAACCAGGCATTTGATAGGCAAATTATTACATACCCCAAACCTAAATTGACCATCGTGAGAGCTGCAGCAACGTTTTTGTCGGACTATGCAACATCATATGAACAGTGATTTCTTTAGGCATAGGCCAATACCCAATGTTTCTGTATACCTACAACGGTACACTCAGACGGAAATAGTCAATGTTCAGCTTACTGATGATCGCATACGAAGGGTTTTCGCCGCTTTCTACAGCAGAGATACTCTATCCATTGGAGTCAAAAATCAAGTAAAATACAACCGGTGGTTGTCCACCTACTTCTACGTACATCTCCTCGGTATATAGAGAGGCAATCGGCATGGGTGCCACTCGAGTACTGCAGCAGCCGGCACGTGTGAACATAGCACTACAAAGTTGCTATATAGCAACACTCACACCAGAAGTAACATGTTTTGAATTTTCGGACCTGTACGCATAAACAATTTCATGACAATATACCATGTTTCCACCGATACGGCCACCTAAACAAAAGTATTATATAGGTACCTATCTCTGTAGAGGAGAACACAGTGGAATTGGGTAAGAGCCATGCCAATGGGAGAGGCTGATGCCGTTGACTGGGAGTACGGGATCAGAGTCTTCTCGATGAAGAGACTTTCACCTGCAAAAAGTAAAACATACTTGTAAAATAGACTTATGAATTAGACATTAACGGTCAAAAAGTGTATGAAATTTCTCTGAAACTGCCGTTTATAATTATGTTGTTTCCTATGAAACTTGTTGTTTTATGGTAAAATGGCATAGGTTACCAAAATGTTTATGATTCACTTTTCATTAATTCACTATATCTGATCAGTTACATTTTCATGAGGTTAAGTTTTTCATGTGTCTGTAGAATGTCTTTAAAAAGTTGATTGTGACATATTAGTGAAATTCAATGGATATTGAAAAAAGTGGAAAAGTGTGGAAATTCAATGCATTACATAACATACAAGATGCATTGTGCCCATGTATAGGGAGACAGAACATAAATGACACCACTAGTTTAGTTGAAGGGACATTGATACAACAAAGTTTATTTCGTATTTAGCATCCACACTAGTTATCGTGTATATCTATGGCTAGTGGTTGGCTAAATATAGGTTACACCTCTACCAGTGCCTCAAAAAAGCTTATCATTTCCTTTCCTGTAGATGAAGAGCATTCCTACGAGATAGACGATGACGGTGACAAGGTACAACAGCTGGAGATTAACAAAGAGTACAACCTTGATGGTGTTCGTGTTTCTAGCCACTAGGGAGCAAAACATCTGGAAGTAGCAGAACTGCAGCATTATTTTTTTGCAAAAGTGAACAAAACAACAAATTCTGGTGGGAGAACATACTATTGCCCATTCAGTGGAGGAGGAGGAGACATCTACATTCCAACTGATCAGGATAAGAGCGTAGGTCTGTATGCTTCAAGACAACAACACAAGAACAGCTATGACATCACCACAAAGAAAGAAGGAGAACTTCGACAGTGGTGCTTGGGAGAACAAAGCTCTGGGGAAAACACAAAATATGTTCCTACAGCACAAGCCAACTGTTTGTATGTGCAATGCGGCGAAACGGTTAACTGCGCATCTCAAGGTCTGGAAAGAAGCTAGAAAGTAAGTTTTTAAAGTGCCAGGACTCTGTACTCTTGTCAGGTAGTGCAATACACCACCGTGGTTATGACAATTGATTATGAGCAAAGCAATTCGATGTGACAAAACCGTATTGGACCTTAGACTTCCTCAATATCCTTTCTTGTCCCCTGATTGTGCAATAGAATACAACACTGATGGCATTGATGGGGCCGGACACATGTGTTCTAACAAACACATAATATTATTTTTCAGTCCAATACATCGCTGTTAACGCGACAAATACCAGGACGATCACTAATTTGGCAAATTTATTGTCACAAGATGTACATCTGTCAGTTGATAGCTTTATGGGCTGCATATTGACCGCCAATCCTGGGTACAAGGGTGCAATCTAACATTTTCCCCAACTGGCCAATAGCTCTCAATTCTACTAGCCCAACAGCTTTCACACTAGCCAAAATATTTATTGAAGGCACAGAATCAATTACACATCATCACAAACAGTGTCTTCATCTGACTGTCTAGGTTTTTTAGTTGGAGGTTCCTGTAATCCTTCCAAATACCTCCACATGGTTGTCAAAACAGTACAAAGCACACTGCTCACGTCTACATACCGAACTAAACCACAATATTACAACTTAACTTCGCCATTACAACTCCACTAGTGTGTCTCTCGCCAGCCGGGCGACCGCTTTAGGCGTTAGCACCCGTCCGCGCCGTAATTTACCCACCGTGGGCGGGCAGGCGAGTGCTAGTTTGAAGCCATGTGGGTACATTAACGTGTGTATCTACATTGACAACACCTACGTAATAAAAAGGTATTCATAAAAGGAGTACATGGACCACTGGTGGTTCTCAACAGTTATGAGACAATGAAAAGCACTGAAGTGTAAACCCTCGGCGCACTGTCACGCGCACGCGTAAGTAAACGCATGCGCCGTACCACTAATTGATGGGCTGGGTTTAGTTTTAGCTGTTACTCGTGGTCTCTTGCCAGCTGCGCAGTCTGACGCAGGCTAACTACACTATAGATAGCATGCGAGAGGCGATACACGCCCTGCGTTGCATCTTCTGTGCCTCCGAGTATGCAGAGCACGCGGATCGATCATGCCGTAGTAAGCCGTGTGTATTTGCATATTGGCTTTTTCGTGCTCTAGCTTTGCACGGAGCGTTTTCAGAGAAAACAGGTTCGAAATTTCTGACCTTCATTGCCGTTAAGTAGGTCGTATCGTGTGAGACGAACAACACACCCGTGAAGTGTGAGAGGTAGAGTAACAGACAGCACACACGGACACAGACACGAGTAGACAGACCCATGAAAGGCACTTGAAAGTGCAAACCCAACCTCGGCGAAGTAGCTCGCAGAGAGTCTCTGACACGGCCAGCTACAAGTAGGAGATAGTCACGCGAGAGCCGACGTACACGCCATACGTTGTGACGTCATTGTGCTTCACGATAGAAGGAGCAGCGGACCCGGCCTTTGCTAAATATAACGCATGCGCATTATCCGCCAGCAGATAATGGCGACTACCGGCATTAGCCATACAATGTGGAAGCGCTACTACTCGCTTGTCAATCGGAGCATTTTCAGAGAAAAAAGAAAACCGTTGCGAAAATTCTGACCTTCCTTGCCGTTAAGTAGGTCTTATCGTTTGTGGAGACGACAGACCTTCTGAGAGAAGTGAGATGAGAGTACAACAGACAGTAACAGACAGACACACACACAGACACAAACCACCTACAGTACCCTCGCTGCAGTCTTGTTATCTAAGTAGGTGTGTGGTAAGCATAAGCGCTGCTTAACTTTGATAAATGCCACCCAGACACATAAACACACCTCTCAGACTCAGTTGATTGAGTATAACATATTCTGAGACCAAAGCAGATATAACAGCAGAATGTTTTTTAGGTGTGATGTGTGCCTATAGCCACGCCTGATCTAACTATCTTTGACATGTAATTAGCACTGGATCTTGCTGCCGACGAACTACAAAGCCTCGACGACTGTCGTCTTAGTACGATAAAGTACCGCACAGACCTCACAGATCAGTCAGACATCAAATATGTAAATTCTGACTCACCACTACATATAACGGCCTGTACGTGCAACCTTGCTACACACAGACTTCTGCAGTAGTTCATGCAGCAATGTGGATCAGTCGTTCTGTTCCCCACCTAGCAAAAGAGACGAAATGAGCACACTATGCACATACACAACCATGAAAACGCTCACGCATCTGCGTTCATCGTCGTCATAATAACGTGCTCCTAGTACAACTTGTTGTTTGGTCAGGCGGATTCACAGAATAACAAATGACAGTCATCTGAGAAAACCACCACCCTCTCAATGAGACCCTAGCAGATACACAGAATAGTGGTAAAACTCAGTGACGATCTAGTCGCTGAGAAGGAGAATGTAGAAGATAGGGTGAGTAAATTAATCTGGTTAGTCTTGTTCCCACTGGCAGTCCAACCACAACCACCACCTCCACCATCTAACATCAACAACCACCACATCCAGCGTCCACAACAAACCACTGTCTTAACGTCCACGACCATGTAAGCAGCCAACACCTCGTTACCACAATGGCCCTCCTCCTGGCCCAACAGCAACAGAATCGCGCCCCGCTGGCCAAAAAGCACAGAAGGAGGCAACTAATGAGCAAGTCTGGTAGTGAGAAAACTATCTCATTTATTCACAATAGTAATTCACCCACTGGTGTAAATTTATCCAAAGCTAACAGTAGTTAAACACCAACAAGGCCATGCCCCACTGGATGCGAGCTGTGCCCTAGATGCATGTCTCAACAACTTGGTAATGAGGTACGAAAGGCAGGCAACGGGCAAACGGCAAGGCTAGTGGCAAATTCAATGTCATATCTACAGTCACCTGACCTGGAGGAGGCGTCGACTTCTGCGTGGATGCATGCTATGCATCTCCTGCTGATGATGCTACGACTGTGGAGCTTGATGTTGCCGACCCTGCTGCTGAGCTGTGCTGCCACGTGGCACCTCCGCTCACGCACTAATGGGCATGCGCTAGTGTGCACCCCCTTCGCACTCTTCCCCCACTCATCTAGAGCAGCTACACTTCCAGTCTCAACCCTAAACAGTAGCGGTCCATAGATGGGGCCAAGTAATGCAGGCGCGTAAGCATTGATGCAGACAGTTTTCCTCACTAGGTTACCTCAATTAAGGTTATGGACTTGTTCCATCACAATGTCAAACTAATAATTATTGGACTGACAATGTAGACTGATGTCGGACATCAGATGATGCATGTTTATATGCAACAGCTATGAGTGCAACATTAAAAGCCGGCAATATACCTTTATTCGTACTTAACACTTTTTCTTTGGCATTCCATTCTGTTCCGTGTCGTTCAGTTTCTTTTCCTTTTTAACACCAGGAGCGGCAGTCCACAAGCGCAGATTATATTTGTCAGTTGCAGGATTCGATTGAGGATGTCTCTTCGTTGCAGCGATACAGTAGCGCCGCAGCGACCAAGGGGTAAGGCAACTCGGGCCTGGCTGCACCACAAACATGTGTTCGGTGGAATGCACCAACAGAAAATCCGTTAGCAAAGCCGCGCGAAGACCTCACACCCGGAGCACCAATGTCGAGGAGGAGGGCCCTCATCCCCGATGAGTCCGACGTGGAGGAGCTCACTCCCGACTTTACCTCTGTTACTACGGACCTGCCTCAGTGGAGTAAGTGCTTCCCCTACACGGCACCAAATCAATCACTGTCCCATTTTTACCCCAAGCCTCGACCAACCCGCCCCCGACCACCGCCGCCAAGAAGGGAAGGAGAGGAAGGAAGAAGGAGAAGGAGAAGGCTGTTGCTACGGACCTGTCCTCGAACCAGTACTACCTGGGACAAGGAGAGAGAGAAAGAAAGAGAATGCATCTACACCCCACGTGGGAGTAAGAGCAGCAAATCAATCACTGTCCCATTTTTTACCCCAGCCTCGACCGACACGCCCTGACCACTGCCACTGCCGCCAAGAGGGAAGACAGAGAGAAAGGAAGAAACGTTGACGAGGAGGCTACAGGTGATGACATCGGGCCTGGGGTCCGTACACACCTGGCATGGCACCCCAGATGCGAGAGTGAGGGGAACGGACGTTGTCTGGCGGAGAGCCTCAGAGAACAAGATTGTAGTTGAGGACGTTGTCAGTGAAGAGGAGAGGAAGGCAGTGACGGAGCTACTACCGAAGTGGCGGAGAAAGGTGCTGGCTACAGGAGGTAAACCTGGTACAAGCAATTGCCACCGTGTCGTGGCCTCCTTCACCGCAAAATCACGTCATCCTGAGAAACAAACACTTGTACCAATTATTCTTATTGACAAAACACAGTTTGTGTCTGCTTATATGCCTTTGAAAATGATATTACCGCTACACACAAAAGGAGGCTTGTCAAGGAGAGTGGCATGGCATTACTCTGGCTGGTAATAAACCACAATTAACCTGCACACTGTAGTTGTACATACGTAGTTGTGAGGAGCTCTCTCCAGCCCACTTGTTGGCAAGGGAGGGAGAGAGCTCCTCCAACTACCAACTTTTAGCAGACACCTAGTACCAGCGACAGTACCACGTGTTACCTCATGTACTGAACAACATTTAAGTCTCTTGTCCTGTGTCTGTTCAGACTGTTCTGCAGCAAACTGCCCACTACCGTGAACAAGTATCTGCCTGATCAAGTCCCGCTTTGGAGCAGCGAGTGGCACACTCGACGAGTTCACTTGTCTGAGCAACAATTCAGTCAATTGGAACCGTGCACAGCAGCCACTGGAAAGTTGAAGCTAGTAGA